GTTTGATTTAGTAATATACCTGAATATGTTTACTTACTGGCCACATTTGATATGGCCATTTTGTACTTTGAGGGCAATTAATTTTGCAAATTCCAAGTTTCTTTGCAAAATGCTTCTGAAAATAAAATTATTTTTAAATATTAATTATTTTCACATAGGTTTGTTTGTTTGAAGCTAAAAACAAAGATACACAATGGGCTATTTGTGCTCTGCCCACCACGGGTACCGAAACCCGGTTTCTAGCGTTGTAAGTCCGCAGACATGCCGCTGTGCCAGTGGGGGGCTTTCACGTAGGAATACAAGTTGTTTTGAAAGATAATAATTTTGTTAAATAACACCGAACTTATAAAGCGAAAAATATTTACACAGTTGAGATCCTCTTCCAGTTTATTATAAAATTTAGCTCAGAATGAACTACATTAAACATTTGCTTCATTTTTCATAGCTTATAATACTAGAAACCGGGTTTCGATACCCCTGGAGGGCAGAGCACAGAATCCCATTGTGTAGTTTTGTGTTTAACTTCAAACAAATAAACATTTTTCAGAAAAAGAATATATTTATATATTCGAGAGAAGACCAGTACAGTTAAGAAGTTGACAGAGGGCGCGAGTGTTGCAAAATCACTGAATCTATCTATCGCAGTCCATAATTTTGAACTTCTGACTAGAGGAAGGCAGCCAATCAGCAGCACGTTACCACCCACAATCCACGCTAAGGAATTGATTGTCACTCTTATAACCCATTCACAGCTTATTAAAGTGCGTGAAATATTTTGTGGTATCGCACGGATTAAAACTCGGCTCGTCAGTTCTGGAAACAAACAAAATATACTTAAAATTTGAAACCAAAAAAAAAAAAAAGTAAATTCTCCTCAATCCATAACAGTTAACAAAATTAAAAATATTTCCAAGAACTCGTATCTTTTTACCAGCATACAAGATCTACTGTAATTAGTGGTGTAATCTGTTCTCGAAACTGCCGTCGTTACTTTATCAAAAGTTCCAACTTACTGAGCGATTTAACCATTCCTGATAAGCCGTATCGGGCTTCTCCAAAGCAGCGAAGGGCTTCAGCTTCTAAGATGATATCAGCAACGAGCCCCCATTCCAAAGAAGACAAAGAACATGTAGCATCATCAGCAGTTTGTAACAGTATAAGCTTTGTTTTCTGACTGTTTCCACGGATGATATTCATCACAGATGACGTCACAGGCTCTAACATAAAGGGCTCACTAAGGAAAGTATATAAAAAAAGCTCAGTTGAACGAAAATTATACTAAACGTAATTTTAAAAATGTGGCAGTGGTACGCGCAATGTTTAAATACACACATGTATATTTATTTATTTATTTTCTTACTTCTCCCTTCAAACTTCACAGGTTTTTACAAAAGTAGTTGCTGCCTACTATAAGTTTAATATCATTTATACAAATCAATACAATAGAAGAGGTGAGACCCCCCCCCCAGCGGACTTACAACGCTAGATACCGGGTTTTGATACCCGTGGTGGGTAGAGCACAGATACCCCATAGTGTAGCTTTGTGCTTAACTTCAAATAAAATAAAGATAATGTAAAAGAAAAACCTAAGTTGGGTAATTAAAATAAACATAGAAGTTTTATTAAATAACAGATGAACAATGAAGTTACACGGGTCAAGGAATCAAAATCAAAATGACTTTAGCGAAATAAGTACGGAAGCTTCATAAGGAAACAGAACAGGTCAGGAGATATACCAAAGAAGTGGTCAAAATGAATTGGAGCTAAAGTAGGGAACAACTAGGCGTCTTCTAAAAACAACATTGGAGCTGTAATGGAAAAAACTAGGTGTCTTATAAAATGAACATTGGAGCTGTAGTAAGGAACAACTAGAAGTCTTATAAAGAAAACATTGGAGCTGTAGTAGGGAACAACTAGGCGTCTTCTAAAAACAACATTGGAGCTGTAATGAAAAAACTAGGTGTCTTATAAAATGAACATTGGAGCTGTAATGAAAAAAACTAGGTGTCTTATAAAATGAACATTGGAGCTGTAGTAGGGAACAACTAGGCGTCTTCTAAAAACAACATCGGAGCTGTAATGAAAAAACTAGGTGTCTTATAAAATGAACATTGGAGCTGTAATGAAAACAACTAGGCGTCTTCTAAAAACAACATCGGAGCTGTAATGAAA